TCTCTCCCCCATAGACTTCAATGCCGTAAACATATTTCATCCAGTTTTTCTCAGTCTTACCCCCACCCCAATGCCAGCCTCATTCTACAACAGTGGCTTTTTATGCACTAAGTGCATCTGGAATTTTCTTTAGAGAAAGAACTCCAATGCTAATTACAAAAAAGAAAAGGAAAAAAGAGTTTAATATTTTGCTTTCATTACTTTTACAAAAATGAGTAAAAAGTTTTTAAAAATAGTACATCTGGCCAGAAGACAGCTTAGATATTGCAGCCTAGATACCGTGAAAGAGGCACAGCAATTATAAGAGGATCCTAAAGCAGCAAATCTTTAGCCTCAAATAGACATTCTATGGATTTAGGGCAAATGATTATGTGGTTAATTCTGAAAGAAAAGAACAAACGATACTAAAATGCCTGGCTATTTCAAGCACTGAACCCACACGGTGTTTCAGAGGGACTCTCCTAATAGTATGTACTGGACATCAATGCCCATTTTCAGGAAGAGAACACATGACACTGGCCAGACTAATTTGGCCTTGGGCCTGTACGTGTATTCTCATTCACATAATGCACCTCTCGTCTTCATTCTTAACAATGATCATGGTTCTAAGTTAATTGGAGCTTTAAGCCTAACGAGTGTTTGGATTAAGTCATATTATACATGGTGCTATTTCCAGATCAAGTGCTGGCAGTGCAATGAATGTTCTAAGTACTAACCACAAAGTACTGTAGTTCTGGATACTACAGACATGTAACAGGTCATTTAAGAATAAAAGAAATTTAAATGAGCTGAGGATGGTTTGGAAATAGCAGACAGCAAGAAGGAAAGCAAGGTAAAGAAAAGCAGAGAGAAGAGCTGTATTTCATAGAATTTGAAGTATAATCATTGCCTGTAAGAAAAATTTTTCACAGAACTAGGTGCTGCCTGGCCACCATCGATAGTCACTCTAAAGGGATCACAGGGGAAGATTCCTACAGTGGAGTAAATGTGGAACTCAAAATAGAAAAATGTCCAGGCTTACTGTTCTGATTGATCATGGCTGGTGGAATCCCCAAGACTATGGTTCTCAGTCACCCTTTGAACTCGAAATAAAATTCACCCCTGTAGCTCAACTTTTAGTTAAACTATAAGCCTATAAGTTGACCAGCAGCACCAGAGAAGTACTCACTCCTTAGAACAATCAACCACATGATGTCAAAAGAGCAACATTTGCCCAAAGTTAATGGCTGAAGGCAGGGAGAGATAGAAGGATTTATGGAAATGAGAATCTCAGGGGGAAAGTAAGAAATGAATACATTAGGAATATCGTAATTAATGTTACAAAAATATATATAAACATTTGAATGGGGGGATATTTCTATGCTTAACTTTTACTCAAGTCATATAAATAAAGAAAAAAATAATTTGAAAAGGAAATATTTCAATATGCCACTGTCCTAGTAGTTTCCAATAGGCAAGGTTATTAATACTTTCTGTATGAACCATTTAGAGAGGAAAGAGTGCTACACTTAGATTTTAGGTTCTAACACAGGGCTACGATATTGGGTTTTGCTTTTGTGTCAAGTGTCCGTAAAATAGGGATGACAGCAATACTCATCTATTCTGTCTCAAGAGAGGCTATACACAGGTTCATAAATATGCATAAAACAGGAGAGAAGAGTACAACAATGAATGAATGGAAAGCCAAAGTCTCTGTAAATTTTTAGTGAAATTAATAATAAATTTACATTTTAAAAAATGCAAAAAACAATTCTGAAGAACAATGTGAGATTATTACTGGGCTGTTTTTATGTAAGTAGTAATTTGCAATGTTATACAGCAAATATGCTACTGGAATTTTTAAAAAACCTTCTCCTGTTGTGTAAAAACAGAGTTCCCAGTACACAATTCATTAGATAAACAATATCTCTACACAGTACTAAAATCTTAGACATTCAATAAACAGCTTCTGTGTGCCAATTGTTCCCACTCTGGAGCTCATTTATAAAACTATTACTTTTGTTTTCATTACTTCCAAAAAGGATATGTAATATGTTAAGATTTAGAATTATGGAATGATCTACTATCCTAACTATTGACAACTCAGAACCAAAATGAGTTCAAATGAGTCTGTGATAAGCATGACTGATTTGCACTTAAACATAAAGAAGCTTCTTTTACTACTGATGCAGATTTTGTTTCTAGGATTTTGCAGACAACATTTTTTTCACTAAAACTGTTTCATTAATGCGGAATTGTTGAGTGATTAAAAATGTTTGTTAGTTGTGCTGTATTTTCGTATGTAAGACATGTAAATCCCAACAGAATTAAAGGTAGGACAGGTGGAATGAGGCAAGGGAAAAAACAGTCACTTGAATATTACCTAATCACACTTTCCTCTTAATATACAAGAAACACAAAAGCCTTACCTCACAGAAGTTAAAAGCGACAACAGTTTTACGTAGTCACTCCTCCAGAGTGCACTACCTCAAACAATAACTTCTTAGGACATTAATATGTCACTTACTAGTACTTATGATAACTTACTTCTGCTTATGTAATTATGCAAGCCATAATACCAGCATGAACTGTATAAGGGGAGGAGAGGAGCCTCTCCAAAAAACTCACAAACAGAAAATGTAAGTGGTCCTTATATGCCCTATGGGCTACATGTTAAAAAAACCAAAAACAAAAACGTACAAAACAATTAAATCTGGAAGGAAATTTCTTTATGCTCTGTGTCAGCAACAAACTCTGGCTCAGATTTCATTAAGTATTCCAGAAACACTTTGCCCAATGGCTAGATTTCCAAAAGCTAGGTGGTAACAACACCTATAGATCAGTGGAGGGAGACTTAGGTGCTAACATTCAAGAGAAGTAAGATAATTAAATATCACCCTGATAACCAACTTTCTTTGTACCTTATCTCCTTCTTAGGAAGGCACCCAAGGAGAAATAGGTCAGACACCAGTCTATTATTACCATTGTCTTTTCGTGGGTTTTGGTTTTTTGTTTTGTTTTTGGTTTGGGTTTTTTTTCCCATTTTAATCTATGGGATCAGTGCCTCTGCAGAGAAAACAAAACAACAGAACAAAACCCACCCTACTTGAACTGGTTCCATTTGGGGACATATATACCTCAGGTACTGAGATGAAGGAGAATTTTAGTCTGACCATTCCTACTGCTTCCTGTACTTTCAATTCTCACTCTCACTCTTCCCTCCAGGCCTCAATGTAATACAAAGGCAACTCTGAGGAACAAGATTAAACTTGCCCAGTCACATTCAGTGTGGAAGAATGTGGGAAGAAAACTGTATAGGAAAGGCCTCACAATCACATGAGAAACCTAGACTATGGAACTAGCAATAAGAATCAGGCCGGAATCAGAAACCAGTTAGCTTTTGCTCGTTAAGATGGAGGAGTCAGATGGGAGGGCAGAGGTAGACACATGTCCATTAAGTTTTCTCAGGAAATTGAGAGTGAAAAAGAAACATATAGCAAGATATTACCTTAAACTAAATGAGTCAGGCAGAACAAAGACCCCCAAGCAGGGAAAGGACAGGACCAACATTTTGTAATCATGATTAGCTAATAAAGAGTCATGCTTTCCTGTAAATCTTCACATTTTCTCCTTTTCCGCTCATAGGACTTAAGGAACAGATGCAACATGCAGGTGGCCAAGTCTGACTTCTACCTGCTTCATATTGCAGAACTGTCCCATCAACAATATCTATAGTATCAAACAAAATAGCTACATAGTCAGACATGCCACCCTCCACCATGCTCCTGCACCTAGTTCTACCAATCATTGAATCCAATGTTTGTTGCAGCTTGACTGAGAGACTTTACTCACAGTTGTAATAAGGTTTATAGATTGGGAATTAGGGGAGGCAAAGAGTATCATACAATTCCAAGCCCAGGTTCAGTCCAGTGGTCCAAAGCCAGATTAACAAGGTACAATTCCTCAATTAATGAAAGTCCAGGTTCATCTCAGCAGCACAAATGCACCTCTGGTTTTCTCACTTATCCAGTAAACTTTAACTCAGAACA